ATCGACTCTGTCCAATGATGTTATCTATCTCCTCCTGCATTCTTCCTGTGCAGACAGAGAAAAAAAAATTGTGAACAATGCAAAAATAAAAAATGCATTTTTAAAAGTTGAGTTAAACAGGTTAATAATTTTGAGAGAGCAATAAAAGACTAGAGTTTATTTTTTGAGTTTATAGAAAAAATTCAATGCAAGTCATACTACAGATTAAAGTGTCAGTATGTAGGTGGGGTATAGCGCTCGATGCTGAAGAGAAGAGAACTCACATGGTGGCCAGTTGATACAGAAAAGTATATTAATGTGAGGATACTGTGAAGGTGGTACAGAGTCTGCATACATACTTACAGATAACTGTGCAGAAGATACCTGTACACACTGCTGATACCTGACAGCATCTGACAGAGGAGGTGGCTGGATGGCAGACCAGCAATGAAGCACCTGAGGAAGGTCAACTTCCTGAGACACAAGAAACAGTCCCTACTCTGTCCCTCCTTTACTGGAACCTCTCTCTACGCTAGACATTCTGTACCTGACCTAACCACTTTGCAATTTCACACCAACCATAGGGGGAGGTGCTCTTTATTAGCACTGCCAACACCAATGATGGTCATGGAGCTCAGCCAGAGTAGCAGCATCAAATCCGACAGCTGCTGTAATGGTGACACCTATAGAGGCTTCCAGAGGGACATGGGTTCACCTTGCCCTCTGCTCTCTCTGCACAGCAACCGTCGAACAGCGCCATCTGTGCAAAGAGGCCAAACTACACCTGCCTACAAGTAGTGACACTCAGGCAGAGACAGTTTAAAGAAGAATGGGGCCCAATGCTGTGGACAATGCAGCTCTACACACAGATTGGAAGGACTCATTATTGCACATAGAGCATTTCTGGCATGATTAAATATTTCTGGACAAAGACAAATAGCTGATTGGTCCTTTTTCCCTAAAGAAACTGGACTTTCAGCTCATGTGTGCTATATCCATTTTTAGCCAAATTCAAGTTGGTTGAGCACACGTATATCCCACATGGAAGAAAAATATATTTTAAATATATTTTAGAAATACTCTTCCCAAATATATTGACATACATTTTGGTTGTATTCAATATATTAAAAAAAAAAATATATATATATATATATATATATATATATATATACAGTTGTGTTCAAAATAATAGCAGTGTGTTGAAAAAAGTGAATAAAGCTCAAAATCCTTCTAATAGATTTTATTTTCATACACACAAATGCATTGAGAACACTACACATTCTATTCCAAATCAAAACATGAAGAAAAATATATCAAATTTGTGTTGTTCCTCTAAAAAAAAATGAAGAAAAATGAATATTAGACTGTTCAAAAAAATAGCAGTGTTTGTATTCTTCTTTACAAACTCAAACATTCACTATATAAACTGAAAAATGTTTGAAGATTTTGCTTTCCTTTGAATCACTTAATGAATATTTGGTTGTAGTAAACACTGTTTCTGAGAACTGCTGTACATCTGTGTTGCATGGAGTCACCCAACTTCTGGCCCCTGTGATCAGGTATTCCAGCCCAGGATGATTGGACTACATTCCACAGTTCTTCTCTATTTCTTGGTTTTGCCTCAGAAACTGCATTTTTGATGTCACCCCACAAGTTTTCTATTGGATTAAGATTCGGGGATTGGGCTGGCCACTCCATAACGTCAATCTTGTTGGTCTGGAACCAAGATGTTGCACGTTTACTGGGTGTGTTTGGGGTCGTTGTCTTGTTGGAACACCCATTTCAAGGGCATTTCCTCTTCAGCATAAGGCAGCATGACCTCTTCAAGTATTCTGATGTATTCAAACTGATCCATGATCCCTGGTATGTGATAAATAGGCCCAACACCGTAGTATGAGAAACATCCCCATATCATGATGCTTGCACCACCATGCTTCACTGTCTTCACAGTGTACTGTGGCTTGAATTCAGTGTTTGGGGGTCGTCTGACAAACTGTCTCTGGCCACTAGACCCAAAAAGAACAATCTTACTTTCATCAGTCCACAAAATGTTGCGCCATTTCTCTTTAGGCCAGTCAATGTGCTCTTTGGCAAATTGTAACCTCTTCAGCACATGTCTTTTTTTCAACAGTGGGACTTTGCGGGGGCTTCTTGCAGATAGCTTGGCTTCACATACGCGTCTTCTAATTGTAACAGTACTCACAGGGAACTTTACACCTTCTTTGATCTTCCTGGAGCTGATTGTTGGCTGAGTCCTTGCCATTTTAGCTATTCTTCTATCCATTCGAATGGTAGTTTTTCGCTTTCTTCCACGTCTGTCAGGTTTTGGTTGCCATTTTAAAGCATTTGCGATCATTTTAGCTGAGCAGCCTATCATTTTCTGCACTTCTTTATATGTTTTCCCCTCTCCAATCAACTTTTTAATCAAGGTACGCTGTTCTTCTGAACAATGTCTGGAACTACCCATTTTCCTCAGAATTTCAGAGAGAAATGCATTGTAACCAGCATGTACAATATTTGCTGCCTTCTTTCCTTAAATAAGGGCAATAATTGCCACCTGTTTTTCAAAGATGAATGACCTCACTAATAGAACTCCACACTGCTATTGTTTTGAACATGCCCCTTTCAATTAGTGATTCAATTACACAGAATCAGTAACATGCATGTCATGACTGTTGGGTCTGTTGGATTTCTATTACTCTACTACACCTGCTAGTAAATTATTTGCCATGTAGAAATATAATTTCTACCAAAAACAGTGATTGATCAGGTTAGTGATGTCTGACTGCTATTGTTTTGAACACAACTGTATATACATATGTGTGTTTGTGTGTGTGTGTGTGTGTGTATATATATATATATATATATATTTTTATATATTTATTTTTACATATATTTGTAAATGCATTCTGAAAATGCAGATTAAATGCATTTTTAAAGACATACAGTATATTTGAAAATGCATTTTAAAAAAATATTTTCCATATATCTTGTAATATATAAAAAATGCATTTTAACATACAGTATATATATATATATATATATATATATATATATATATATATATATATATATATATATTTATATCCCATGTGGGATGGCAAACAATTAGGGTAGGATCTCATGCTGTTCCGTTGAGGCATCTACCTTACAGACATAGTAAAATTTGGCCAACTACTAGAGTAGTGAATACACATGTTAGGTCAGGATAGATTTGCTTAGATCTTACTAACCATTCACAGATCTATACTCCTTCACTTCCTGTGCTTAGTCAGTTTAAACTGTTAAATGGTATGAGTAAATACAATGTCACTTACTTGCTACATCTGGATACTTGAGAAGGATAAGAAGAGCACTTTTCAAGGTGGTGCCGGTTGTTTCAAACCCAGCATTAAAAAGATCCTTCACTGTGGCAAATAAGTTATCAATGTGGAATTCAGTGTCTGGCTTGTCTTTATCCTGTGGAGATATAAACAACATATTTCAGTTTTCTACCAGTGAAGAGAGAAGCTCCAGCCCAAACTATTTTCTTTGTTTTAGACAGGGCTGTGAAGGGTTAGAACCTTAGTTTTGTATTATTTACACCATTGGCAGCCACTCACCCAACAAATTCAATTCAAAAGACTAACAATAACTTATAAAGCCATCCACAACTTGGCCCCCAGCTACATCACTAACCTAGTCTCAAAATACCAACCAAATCAATCTCTTTGTTCCTCCAAAGACCCCCTGCTCTTTAGTTCCCTTGTGTCAGGAATGGACTTTCCAATAATGGTGGGACTCACCTGCCTTATGGGCTGCAGTACCAGGGCTGGCCAGCGGGTGCTCTCAGCAATCAGAGACTCAACCCTGCAGTCAGCCAAACACCTGAAGCTGATTACGGAGGTGTATTTAAGGGATGGCCATACCTGCAGTCTGGGCCTTGGTGTGTGTTTTCCATGGGCCCCTGTATCTTGTTACCTGCATTCCTGTTCCTGTTCCTGCCTGACTGACTCGTTGCCGACCCTGCCTGATCCTGACCTCTGCTGACTTCTCCTGTTTGATCCCTGGCTTGTGACCCCGACCATTCTCTGCCTGACCTCCTGTACCTACCTGCCCGTTAGTTGCTGTACCCGCCTCGTGACCTGTCTACTCTCTGCCTGCTCCTCCTGTTCCTACCTGCCCAATTGTTATTGACCCGGCCTGCCTGACTACGCTTGCATTGTATGTATTGTTATCTGTGGGTGGTTTGGTTTGGTTCGTTTGCACTGTGTTTATGTTTTAGTATTGCACTGCGTTTTGTATTGTTAGTATCAATAAATTATATTGTTTATAACATATCTGAAGCCTGCGTTTCCCTGCGTCAGTTCACATACCTCTGGTCATACCCGGAGCCCTGACACCTTGTCACCTACTCCCATGCTCGCCTCCAGGACTTCACCTGAGACTCTCTCATCCTCTGAAACTCCCTACACCAATCTGTTTGGCTATCTCATACTCTGAGCACTTTTAGGAAATCCCTGAAAACTTTTCTCTTCAGAGAAGCCTATCTTGCCTCCACCTAACAAATTTACCTTTATTTTCTCCATCAGCTCATCTCTCACAGTTTTTACCTTTTGTATCACTTGACCCTACCCTGTTAGATTGTAAGCTCTAACAAGCAGGGCCCTCAATTCCTCCTGTATTGAATTGTATTGTAACTGTACTGTTTGCCCTCTCGTTGTGTAGACTGTTGGCGCTATATAATTCCTGTATAATAATAATAGTAATAATAATAATACATTTTTCTTATTACATTTTTCAACATTAATCTTGCTGGAAAGATCTGAACTCACATCTTGTCTCAAGGACCACATGGGAAGACAGCACAAAAAGTGAATGGAAATCTTTCCAAGAGAGGCACATACAGGAATTAAGACTGACAGTAGTTCTAATGATTCAGAAAATGAAACAAGGAATACAAACGTTTTAGCTGGCACTCCATGTAAAAATATACCATGACCAAAAGTAGAAGTAGGCACTTAATAGTCAACAGCCATCACCTCTTCCATCTTTATGAGAAAGCTGTCAATGAAGTCCCGTGGGCAGTTCATATCAATAGTCTTCTTATGATGATCTATAATACCCATTATAAATTCTTTCACTTTCCTATAGTTTGTGAAAATTTTCTGGTGGCCTCCAGGGATGTACAATGATGTTTTGGGAAATAGATTTAACAGCTGTGAAAACAGAACATATTTTATAAGGCTGAGATAAAAAAATACTCCCGTGAATCCTCTTTGAAGGAAGAACACAATTGGACTATTTTCAACTGTAGTTTTGCTTTGATGGCACTTGATAAAGAAGTATTTTCATTCAGTCTCTGAATGGAAGCCTATATCTTTCTGTTTTGAGAGGTTTCCATTAAATTTTGGTATGTTTTGTCAAACACAAAAGAAATTAAATAAATTGCTATGATGTAGAATCCAAACTTTGGTTTTCCATAATACATGTACTGCTACAGGGCGGCAGGACTGCACAAAATCACGTGTATATATACGTGATTTTGTATTTCCGGGTAGATGGTGTGTACGCCGCTCTACCCTCGCTGCCATTGGCGGCTACAGCTGTCAATCACCAGGTTCTGGCCAGAGATTACCAACCGGCACCAGGCGATCGCCGAGGAACACTGACAGATCTCTCCCCTGTCAGCACCAGCATACTGCCTTTTATTGCTGCATAGCAGAACAATACAAAGCAGCATGCTAACAAGGTAAAAACACACACAACACACATAGTAAAACACACACAGCACACAGTTAACCCTTTGGTCATCCCAGATGTTAACCTCTTCCTGCTCAGTGTCATTAGCACAGTGTCAGTGCTTTTTTTTATTAGCACTTATCACTGTATTGGTGTCACTGGGGATGTCAGTGGCAGTTGGTCGGTCCCCCCCCCCCCCCTAGTGTCAGAATGCCTGTTGCAGTCCCACAGTTGCTGATTACCACCATTACTAGTATAACAGACATTTTTAAAAAAAAATGTAGCAGAATACATTTTGACGAAATTGGGGTTTTTAAATTTTTTTACTGGATGTTTTATAGTAAAAATGTAAATTTTTTTTCCAAAATTGCCAATCTTTTTGTTTATAGCTCAAAAAATTAAAAAAAACACCAAAAGAAAGCTCCATTTGTGGGAAAAAAGGACATAAATTTAATTTGGGTGCAGCATTGCATGACCACGCAATTGTCAGTTAAAGTAACGCAGTGCCGTATCGTAAAAAATGGCCTGGTCAGGAAGGAAGGTAAATCCTCTGGAGGGCAAGTGGTTAAAGAGAACTATTAGTAATAGAAGAATGTAGGCTGCAACAGCTAACTTCAAAGTGAGAATACTTGTTGTATGGATGGCAGGCATATTTTTTTCTCTTGAGGGTTTTCCTTTAAATACATGATGCAAATAAATGTTTTGCCATAGCTCTTTATGTCATGCATAAACTTTGGGAGAATATCAGGTATATATGTGGATTTACTTACAATGCCCCATTTAGAGGCAATGGTGTCTACAATTTCCCTCAGCAAGAATAAAAGATTTGTGAACTTTTCATCTTCATAGTCAAAGCGTTCTCCAAACACAATAGAGCAGATGACGTTTGAGACTGCCAAACGCAGCAGATCCGTTGGTTCAAACATGTTTTCTAGGAAAATACATCAGAAATCAAATTAAAAATTATACAGCTTAGAAGATAGAGAATCTATGATACAATGGCACTCATCAATGAATCTAAAAGTATTGTCTTTGTTGTTGTTACCATCCAACTAACCAATCTCTTTTTCACTCTTCCAGTACAGACTTGAAGTTGGAAAAAGGACATTTTCTAATGTCCTTTAACCCCCCTGGTGGTATTCCCGAGTGTAGCTCGGGGTAAAGTTTCAGTACCACAAGCAGTAAGCCTGAGCTACACTCGGGAATACCTTGCAGCGCTGATCCGGCATCTGTTCTTCTCTTACCTTGTCCTGCGCTCCCGCGATGTCCCTCCTGCAGTGTCCCCGGCAATGTCCTCCGGCCGATGCCGGCATCTGTCGGGTTCCGTCCCCTGCGAGCGTCGGGACGCACGGGGGTGACGGAACGGCGGGAAATTTGAAAATGTCAAAAAGTGACATTCAATAAATACACTAAAATCACATAGTATTCCATTACTGTATCAAATCATTTCACATACATTTTGCCCCGAGTGCTTTGTCCTGTGCCCTGCCTGCATTTTTACTGTTCTTTCTTCCTGGAAACTGAGAAATGTCCATGGCGTCCAAAAAGCGTCCCTTTAGGTCAAAAGCTTTTTTAGACCGGCTAGAGAACAGCGATAGTAAATCAGAACCACTTGCAGAATTGAGTGATAATGATTCATGGGGGAAATTGTCATCAGACACTGAAAATGATTTTGCGACTTTGATCAGTGATGTGAGAACTTTATTTTTTATGATTATTTATTAAATTATAATTTATGATTTCGTGTTTCAAGTTTTATCCTACCTGGATGTTTACTAGACTCTTGTTCGGACAGATTTCAGTGAATTATTCCTAAAAATTACAGGCCTACAATAAAAAAAATACATATTTCCATGCAAAACAATGTACCGCTTTAAGCACAGACGTATGGACATAATCAGACCGCTAGGGAGGCTAGGGTCTACAGAGAGACCCGTGATTGTGTTCTTGGGGAAAGGTGGCAACTGGGCAGAAATGAAATTGTGTATTTATAAATGCAAGCATCTCCACATAACTCACTGCAGGTAAATCAATCACTGTCATTTAAAACCCAGGCACCAGGAAGATTCACCTGCAGTAAATGTTTGCTCGATGTTATATTCACTGCTTTATAAATATGCACCTTAGCATTTCAGCTAGATACACCACTCAGTTATCATGCTTAGAATATTTAGGCAGCAGTTATACCTTTCAATTCAAGTTTTGTTTTAGTTTAATGAGAAATATAGCATGGTTTGTGTAAGTATGCTATTTTTATTGATTGGTTTAAAGTTTCAGACATTTCTGTGGTTGCTTTTACAATTTTACTTCCTTGCACCTTTAGAGTTTCCTCTCATCGCCAGTGTTCTTCTCTTCCCTCCGATGTTCCAGGTTGTGTATGGCCCTCGTTGTCCTCACATACAGTGCAGGTCAATCTATAGGTTCTGCTTGTATGGGATGAGGTCACAATACGACTGCCAGCTGGAGCACACTTGAGATAAGGCTGTAGGGAACTGGTCGACACAGCGTTGGGAACGGATGCTGAATTAAGCCATTAGCTATATACTACAGCTTATTCCTCTACCTCCAGAGCTAATGAGCATTATATCCTAGCAGAGCAAAGAGGTCCTGCTGCAAGGGTATTTGTATCTATGTCTAGAGTTTGCCTTTTGGATTATGTATACAATTATGTATCCCTTATGGAAATTTCTGCAGGCGAGATCAGTATGCTTACTGAATGGTCAACAAGGAAAAGCTACTTGTTCTGGTCCTGTTCACACTTGTCAATTTTGGAACCAGGTAACTGGTTCAATGAGGTCTGTGATGTTATAGTCAAAGACAGTACTGGGACAAGGTCATCTAGAGATCAGAGCAAATATGCTAAATCACACCCCCCCCCAAGATGTATGAGCATTATGTGTCAGCAAAAATACCCCTCCCCAAAACAAATCAAGCACTCATCTGCATACCCTGCTGAAATCCTCCTTCCGAGCACAAATCTTTGCCTACTCATTCTGCCTCCCAACACAAATCCCCCCTCCACATTACTACTGGCCACATTTCCCTCCTAGAACAATTCCTACCCCCTTCTGCCCCCCAAATTCCCCTTTCTAACACAAATCACCTCCCCCCAATCTCCTCATGGTGTCCCTGCCACCTCACAGTGCCCAAGGACAGCCACCCCTCCTGCCCACCCCTTGTCCCGTCCCTGGTCAAAGGCACTGCACTTAGCCTAGGTCTGCTGCATGCAGTTCCATGCATATTTATTACAACATAAGCAGTGCAGAGTGGGTGGATGATCAGTTTATGCAAAGCAGACATGGAAAAGATCCTGCTCTGCTCTATGGGCAGTCGGGTGTTAATGGATTGGCTTTCACCTGACTGCCCTACGATCTGATCCGCTTAAATGGAGAGGGATGGATCCCCTTCCATTTCTTTTTGTGGGCCAGGTCTCATTGGTGTAAATTACGCCCACCAGTGACAATGGCAAGGCGTTAGATGCTTTATGGACCCTGTGATTTTTGTGACTATAATGTATATATATAATAAATGGCGAGGTTTTAGAATCATTAGTCTATAGTTTCCTATTGTTCTTTTCCTACTATCCCTGAGGAAAAGCTGAGCATTCTTGCGAACTTTGGATTGATTGGACGGTTCTGGAAAGTGATAGTGGATCCTGGGAGTGATCTCACATATGTGTTCAAGCGCTTATGATCTCTTTTGCTTAGAGATCCAGGTATTGGAGGTGAGGAGGCGGCGCTTCTGGTTATTTGGTGATCTTGGAGCACAGCATGCGGAGGCCACAGCACACAGCATTCATATTTTAAGTGGATTCGTCCTTTTTGGACTTTTATATTTATTCATTTTTTTACCTTTCATCTTTATTTTTATGCAATATTTTTTATGAATTTTTGGTCACTCTATGTAGTTTTTTTTAATTTCAGGGTGGAATTTCACATTGTTTTCTTGTCAAACAACATGTTTTCACTTATATAAATAGGTGATGAGGCATCATCTTTTGTAATTGTGGGTATAGTAATATAGGAGTTTGCGCACCTTTTTATCTTAGACAATAATGTGCATTGCTGGTGTTAATGGGCTTTCAGCCAACATGAAAATCCCTCTTGCCCAGAGAAAACTATTTACCTTACGCAGAAAACTGGGAAGCTGTGTGTGTTCCTAGTTCTCAGATCCTATGTCAAACTGAAAAATTAATCATAGTTATTGTCAAGTTAACTGACTCATACCAACGCTGCTAAATTTGGTTTGGGCATGTGTAAACTTAAAAAAACTTTGGTTCCAAATGAGTTAACTAGACCTAAAAAAATATGAGCGAGGCCAAGTCTTGCTCTGACATTACAGGAGAAGCCAACCAAACCCTTTGTGTCTCAGCACGACTGACTGTGAACAAAATAAAAGGAGCAATAAAAAACAGTCATTGTGAGCAGTACAGAGCCAAAAGCACAGAGGCTTCCCATTTACATACTGTATATAATTACAAACAATAAATGTCTTTACTGACCTCCATTTTTCTTAAATTCATCAACCAGGAAATTGGCCTCTTCCTGGATCCGCTCTGCAATTCCTTTTTTTCCCATGCCAAAATTCCTCAGGGTTGTCAATGAGAAGCGGCGTAGCTGTTGCCAGCGTTCCCCATTGCTCAAAACTATTCCTGTAGAGTAAATTATATATGAATAAATTAACCAATGAATGTTAAAGCGACCTAAACTCAGATGTCAAGTGGTTTTGTTAGATATGTCTTACTATGATGCTAAATGCGCTGATCACATTTATGAAGACCAAGGGACTTGATTCCATGACTGATGAGAAGGATCAGACAGTCTAAACTATGATCTTCCCCTTCACATGACATATGGCCAGAACAACCTATAGTGGTACCAATGCCAGGAAAGGTAAACATTTGTTACGTTATTTACAATGCATGTCTGTGTTTTTTATCTTGCTGAGTCTTTTATATAGGAACTTTATTCTGTTAGGCTAGGTTCACATAATTGCGGGTGGCTGTGAGTACAGGAATTGCAGCTGTTCCCACACCCACAATCACCCACAGAGTGCGCTGCTCTTTAGTGACACGCGGGGCTGCCTATCATTCTTAATAGCACCTCCACACATCTAAAACCACAATGCGTGTGCGGGATTTGCTGGGAAGTTTTCTGGCCACTGCAATATAAAAATAATGAAGCAGGAACCTTTTTACAAATTGATGGGCTGCTGTGCCGACGCAGATGCAGCTCGCAAACCACAAACAACAGTGGCAAACCTAATGCCTTATTATTAAAACTGAACTTCCTGTCCTGTAGCGTGTGGAAGTGAAAGGATATCCTTCCATTGTGTGGGAAATCCCCTCTTAAGTAGTTATCATGAGCAAGTGTACTCATTGAAAGATTTCACCTCTATTCCTTTTTTGCTGGCAACTCAAAATTTTAGATTTACCCTCACTTTATTCTCGGTGACACTGGTGATCAGAACAATTAGAGAGAATCTTCCTCATGGGGACTCTGACAGAAATGAAAAACCTGTCAATGGTTCTAACTTTCTCCACTATAAAAACTATTGAACTAATCTCTAACTATTTAAAGCCTAACTCTAGGCACTGCAAAATAGTTTAGGGGGTTAAGTTTAGAGGGTTTCAGAAGAGGCTACATTGCTTCTATGTCTGCCTGCTCCAGGAGGCTTCTTCAATTAATATGACAGTTCTGCTGCAGCCTCTTTTGTAGGCTGCTCCTACCTGCAGTTGCACTGCTTCCTCAATCATGTACGATACAAGGTCTATAACCCTGCACTGTATGTGATGATGTCAAGGTTCCATGCACTGACCGGAACTTCAGGGGGAAGTAGAAGAGCACCAGAGCCAGGTGAGAATATATAGCCTATTCTACAATCCCCCCAGACTTAATGAGCATTTATACTTTGCAGTAGAAGGGTTTTTTGTGCTGGAGTTAGACTTTAACCATTACGAGCTGGCCCATTTACCAAGAACTAACTGAGACAGTAAACTGTTACACTATAAAGTTTGTGGACATCTGCCCTTCATACCTACTATATAGTCAAAAATGTGGACACTGCTCTAAGCGATTGAGAAAAGGTATTTTCTGTGAAGGAAACTGTCAATGTTACAGCATACACAGATGTTTTAGATTTTGGCATTTTGGTAACGATTTTTTGAAGTCCCTTTTTTGTTCCAGCATGACTGTGCTCCCTTGCACAAAACCAGGTTCATAAAGACAGTCTGATTTGGAGGAACACAAGCAGCCTCCACAAAGCCCTGACCTCACTCTACTGATCACCTTTGGGATGAATTGGAATACAGATTATGAGCCATATCATCTCATCCAACATCCGTACCTGACCTTACAAATATTTTTTAGCTGAATGGGTACAAAAATTACCATGGTAAGAGTGGAGATTATTATAGCTGCAAAGGAGGAGAATCAACTCTATGTTAATGGGCATGGTTTTGGAATAGGATGTCCAACAAGTTTATAAAGTATGTATAATAGTCAAATGTCCACAAACACTTGGTCATAGTGTATCAGTCTTGAGTAAGACACCCACAGTCTACACAGTGGAGAAACCTACCTTGCATCAAGAAACAACTACCCACAAAGTGTTAATAGTTTGTTAACACCACTTTTCATGTTGGAATTTGTTATAAGATAAGGCAGTATATGTTCCTACACATTAAAAAACATAACAATATAGATATAAATTCTCAGAAATTTTGAACATAATCCAACACAATGTTTACAGACACAGCTGTACTACTGTGCAGGACCATATCTAGAATTAGTTTAAATAGCCAGTCCACCAAAAGTTCATAATTCAGCTTTTAATAAATTCTAAATAATGAATAAATGGTTTAATAAATTAAACCATCTGACATGTTCTCAATTTCTTAGACAAGTTTTCTAACTCTGCACAACTGCTGTGATGATTACGAATGACTCCCGCTCTCCATGTTGAATTTGCATGTGAATACATGCATCCTGTAGGCAACAGGAGCAGAGTAAAAAATTATGGCAAGGAGATCTCATTGTTGGAGCGACTAAGACATATGAAAGTTAAGGGTCTGATGCAATCTTTCTAGCTCTGTGTAAAATATTATTTTGATTGGATAATTTGTTTTTTAACAAAATCTCTTCTAGTTTTACTTCACACACAACGTTTACACGATCTTAAGGTAATTTATGTAATTAATGAAATTCTGTATACCTCACCATAGTCTTTTAACATCGCCTTCGCAAAGAAAGTGTTCCCTCTTGTACTGAACACGTCACCATGATCCACCAATGCTTCTTTCACACAATCATATCCAACCAAGACCACCATTGGTTCATTGCCTATGTAGATGGTGAGCACAGGTCCATATTTCTCACTCAGCTGGAAAGTAACAAAGATAGGTTCTATATTGAATGATTTCTGTTTGACTTTGTCATAAAACGTAAACGCTCAGAAGACAAACACAGGCAAACTGCAGTGTGTTTTAGTCCAACATAAGTGACTGAGATTGAAGAAAGTAGACAAGAACAATATAGCAGAATGTATTGTGTGATCTAAAGTCTAAAAATAATTTAAAGTGGACCTATAGATAAAATGTTTCTGTTTAGTTGTGGATAGAATAAAGTTCAAAACCTTTGTTAGCTTTTTTTTGTTGGTTGTGTCCTATTGGGGAGTTTTCCAGTCACCTCCTGTCCAAGAAATAGAACAGAACATGATTGGAAATCTGAAAGGAAATATATACCAACTGAAGTGGGATCCTCTCTTACAGAGTTGTCTTCTCTTCATTCTTGTTCTGGTGACAACTGTAAAATGTATGATTCCCATCACTTTCTGTCTCTGAGACAAATATAACCAAGATCAATAAAAGCCATTGGCTTCTTTCTCCTTATTAGCTTACTGGCTATATTGATAGCCAATAAGGAGAGAGAGACCCGGGACATCCGAGGCTCCTGTGCACAATGCTAGATCAAGAGGGGGCTCAGGTGAGTATTATGGGGGCTCAGGTGAGTATTATGGGGGCTGTAGGGTGAGCAGCACACAGTAGGTGTTTTGCATGAAGGGTAAAAAAATCTTCACCTTTACAATCACTTTATTTAAAACAATATCAAGGGAAGCACTGTGAAAACATGCAAAATGTTATTGCCACAATTTCTCCATCAATTTTCATGAGGTACATAAAAGATCATCAGGTCTCCCAAGGCAAGAGCCAAACATTTCAATATTAAAAGACAGACCAGGAATAGGATGATCAATGAAATCAGGTAAGGTAGTTCTGTCTAAGAAATGTAGACAGTTGTGGTCAGGGATTAAGTCTAAAGGCCTAGAATTAATGAAAATAAAAGGAATCAATAGATTAAAACGAGTGGTTGGATTTAGGTCTCACATCTCTAAAAAGCCATCTGAGGATTAGACAGTAAATAAAGCCCATATTAGTTAACTTTGCAGAAGAAAAATGTCCAATGTGGGCAGATGTAAAAATGTTATGCATAGAATGGAAACATTTCAAAATCAAATTATTACCTAAAGCTGTCTGCAGATCTTTTCACTAATGAAGTGGCCGTGGCTTCTGCTTTAAGGCAACGTGGTAGTCCTTGTGCCACAGAACCTAAATGATAGACAGTGGCTGCTGTCTCTCAAGGACACATTGGGGGGGTTAACTAAAACTAGAGAATGCAAAATCTGGTGCAATTCTGCATAAAAATCAATCAGCTTCCAGGTTTTATTGTCAAAGCTTAATTGATCAAGGTGATTGGCTACCATGCACAGCTGCACCAGATTCTAAGTGCTACAGTTTTCATAAATTCTGCCCATTGTGTAAGTACTCCTGAAGTACACTTATTAATAGTAAAAGAGATTTTAAAACCTCCTACAGTGGGGCCCTTAGTTCCTGATAATGCTTTAGTCCTTGTCTACAATAACCAAACAAAAGAAAGTTCCAGGTTGGGTCACATTTATGGTTAAGGTTATACTATTAATAGAAGCTCTAGCTGGAGATGATTGTCCAAGTCCTTTTGATATCCAGTGGACTATATATATCACATTTTCCTTATAATAGGTACATATTTTGTATGGAAGGCTTATGGGTCCCAGGGTTTCCTGTCGAAGAGTGAAAAGCAGAGGAGAGTAAACATCTGTTCATTGATCTCCTCCCACTGTGTAATGAGCTTGTAAGCGCTTTTTTCTGAGCACTTTAGGGTTAATGGCTGTGAGAACTTGGCCAACTGTTGATCCGTTATACAGTATGCTTGGGAAGACATTAAGAATCTAATAGACCTTTAATGCTTTTATAAACAAGACCTGTTAAGCCAATATTAATACCACATAGGGATTGCTAGCCCCTTGTTATAGTAATAAAGTTAAAGTACTGTATATCTAAACCCAAGAACGAATGTATCATATATTGCAGCTTACAAATCCGTAGATATGGTCCATCAGTAGTTTTCTTTTTTGAGGCTAAGTACGTTTTTCATAGGTAAAGAAAAATACCCATTAATCCAGTCAGACTTTTACCTTCAGCATTTTCCTTTGGGCTGAACTAAAATCTCAAACAACGGTATCAGCTTTCTCAGAAAGGGAGTGTGCAAATCAGAAGAGCATCTTAGAATGACAACTCTGCTCCTCTCTACAGATAAAGTGCAGTGAGTGTGTGTTGTCACCCTCAGACAGGAAGTGTGTTACAGTTAAATTAAAAAGAAAAAAACTGAAAAAAGAAATCAACCTCATCTAAAGACTGGTAATTTGCGATATATTATTATTATAGTTATTATTATTATTATTATTATTATGAATAATAATATACAGGACTTATATAACATCAGCAGTTTGTACAGTACTTTGCAACATGAGGGCAGACAGTACAGTTGCAATACATTTCAATACATTCTCCCCTCCCTCCTAGATTGTAAGCTAGAAGGAGCAGGGCCCTCGAACCCCTCTTGTATTGTATTGTATTGTTACTGTTCTGTCTCCCATTGTATTGTACAGTGCTGAGCAAACTATTGGCGCTATATAAATACTGTATAATAATAATAACAATTATACAGGATGAATCAAAGGGCCCTGCTCACTAGATGTATCATATATATATATATATATATATATATATATATATATATATATTTATTTTTTGTTTATTTTTGAGTTTAGATAGAATAAAGTAACAAAGGGAAGAGATCTCTGCACTCTGATCACTCACAAGTGTTTTCAGTCTGGAGTTTTCTCCCTCCAGACAAATCAGTTTTTGCTATAAAAAAAAAACAGAAACGGAAAGGAATGCCAGATTTAAGTTTAGATATATTTACTGCTTGTCAAAATTGTTCTGAAGGCTTTTTTACCTTCATGCATTTTATGCATGAAAGTAACAACCTTTTGAGTGCAGTTTCCCCTTAGTCCCCCCTCCAAAACTTACCTGAACCTGATCCAGCGGCTCTCCTGGATCTCTGCCTCCTCATTTGCAGAGACACAAGAGCTGGAGCCGTTGGCTCACCCTGTTGTCAATCACAGCCAGTTAGGAGGGAGTGGGGGGGGGCAGGGCTGAGCTGCGCTCTGTGTCAAACACATGGGAGCGAACATACAGGAGTGCTCCCATAGCAAGTGGCTTGCTCGGGGGCCACTCAGCAGGGGGGAGGAGCCAGGAGCATAAGTGGAGAACCCAAGGAGGATCAGGGCTGCTCTGTTCAAAACCATTGCATAGAGCAGGTTAAGTATGACATGTTTGTTACTTAACAACAAAAAAATTTTTAATAATGAATGTGAACCTTTAGTTTCACTTTAAAAATATATATAAAATAATATGTCAATGTCTAGCCTGGGCATAGGCGCACTTAAAAACCAGCGACGATCTCTCATAGTTGTACATAAAAGCCGGCACTCATCAATGGGCTATACAATCTTTTTTTTTTTTCTTTTTATTGCTGTTTTTTTAAATAGAATTTCACAATAAATAAATAAATAATCCCCATCCTTCTATGCATGCCCATACCTCATATAGTAAGCACGTTTATAAATAGTGCCTTAAGTATTAAATATGTATGAGGTATCAAAGTGCATGCCAAAACATGAGGAATAATCCTAGGGCCATGATTAACAATTAACTCTAAACTAATTAGTTGTGATTTTTATAAAGCTTCATGTATGGGCAGATTTAGGTCTCAGGCCATTTCACACATTTTAAGATCTGACATACTTTGGTATCCATTTATTTCTTTTTTTTTTAAATGTTACAAAAAATGTGAATTATATATATAATTTATATTATTATATATATATATATATATATATATATATATTGCAACATAAACATTTGCAACTACCATATTTTAATTCTAGAGGTCCTCTGCTTTCAGAAAATATATCACTTTTGTAGGGTGTTAAGTAATTTTCAAGTCAAAAATGCAAATTTTACCATATGTGACAAATGGGAAACATTTTGGTCTGGCAGGGAAAGAGTTAAAGGGGAAGCAACCAATAAGGACCAAGCTGGGGATTCAGGAACTGGCAGGGGATTTCTGTTACATAGGTGCACGTGATTGTACACATACCAAGAGCTAGAGGCAGGGTCAGCCCGCCTGGATACATAAACAAGGGGAGGGGGAGCAGGTATTCCCACACAAGAATAGCATACAATATCGTCTGGTAAGGGGTGAGCAAGAGGTATACCTTACAGAGAACTTCTAGTCTGCCTCTCTCTCAGCAAGCGATTTTTTTTTTTTAAACGAGCAGTAAATGGATTGAAATTTGGCTGGTTCAGCATGGGCCAGCTGAATTTCGATCCACATGTGTCCATACCTGTTCAACAGAAATTGATTGTTAGATTAACTTTTAATGAAAGGACTTGCTGGAAATTTTTTTCTCAAACAGCTAACTGCAGCCACTGATCATTGCATTTTGGCAATGGAGAGTCCGAATAATACGATTGTAGCTTGGCATTGCACCCACAATCCACTGATTGTTGGTGCAATAATTATATGTGCACATTGTTTACCTGCAAAAACGTGCATTTATTTATTTACTTATTTATTTTAGCAAAGTAGACCTTATCCTTTATATATTGCCCCTGAGTATAAACAGACAGGCTACAGTCTACGTTAAAAAAATCCCCTAATGATTATTATTTATTATTATTATACAGTATTTAGTAAAGCGCCAATAGTTCGCTCAGCGCCCATTACAGAGGGGAACAGAACATGTGACAGAACAATACCAATACAATGCAAAACATGAGGGGATCGATCCCCCTGCTCTTTCGAGCTTACAATCTAGGAGGGAGGGGAAGGTGGCACAGGAGGAGATAGCTGTGGGGGATGGAATGGTAGGAAGAGTGGAGGAGGTCGGCAAGTTAGCAG